TGTTCACAGCAGCACTGTATACAACAGCCAAGACATGCAAGCAACCTAAATGTCCATCAACAGATGACTGGATAAAGAAGTTGTGGTATATTTATACAATGGAACACTACTCAGCCATAAAAAAGAATGCAATATTGCCATCTGCAGAAACAAGGATGGACCCAAAGATGACCATACTAAGTGAAGTAAGTCAGACAGAGAAAGACAAATATCATATGACATCACTTACATTGGAATCTAAAAAAATGACACAAATGAATTTATTTACAAAACAGAAATAGACTCACAGACATAGAAAACAAACTTACAGTTACCAAAGGGGAAAGGGGTGGGAAGGGATAAATTAGGAGTTTGGAATTTGCAGATACTAAGTACTATATACAAAAATAAACAGTAAGGTCCTACTGTAGAGCACAGGTAACTACATTCAATATCTTGTAATAACCTATGACGTAAAAGAATATATATGTGTATAACTGAATCACTTTGCTATACACCAGAAACTAACAAAACATTATACATCAACTACATTTCAATAAAAAAAATAGAATAAAAAAAATAAATGGAGCCTGAGAGAGCAGAGATTCTTGCCTGTTCCCTGCTGTCCCCAGCCATGGGGCCTGGCACATGGCAGGCTCTCAAAATCTATGGGCTGATGAGAAGTGCGTCTAGCTCTTCCTCTGTGCCAGACGTCGTCCTCGCTGTTTCACACACAATACCTCCCTAGGCCTCACAACAACAGAGGGGAAAGGAGCATTATTGCCCCACTTGGCAGATGAAGGGATAGAGGCCCAGAAGTTCTGGGCCTGCCCCAGGGCCACACAATAAAGCTGGGATCAGACATGTAACCACCCTGGTGCTGCTGCAGGGGGAACCCTGGGCTCCCAAGCTGAGGTCTGAAGTAGGAGCAGGAATCATCTGAGGGTCAGGTTGGGGAGTGACATGGGTCTGAGGGTCTGGGACCCCAACCACACACTCCAGCAGCCCCAGCTCTCAGCCCACTCCCCTCTCTTGGCTGACGCTCTACCCTTCGTGATCTCAGCTCCTGGCTTGCGTGCCTCTCTCCCCAGCTCTCATCCTCCTGCTGCCCTCCAATTAGTGCTCTGTGAAAAGCAGAGAAGGCCTAACAATATGGAGAAGTTGCTCAGGCTTGGGAGCCTGGCAGAGCCTTCCGGCCCTGCGCTGGTCTCTAGTCCCTCAGGCCCTGATGAGGGTGACTGGATGGCGCCCAGGATTGGTGACCAAGGTCCACTCGCAGCAGACTCTGCCTCTAGCCAAGACATGGAGAGGCTTTCCTATCAAGACGAGCCGATGCCCTTGCTCTTCCCATGGGCCTCCAGACTCAGGGAGGGGACAACAGGCTCCCCCAGAAACCCAGAGGCAGCACCTAAGTCACTCACAAGGCCAACTAGCACCTGGCCTGTTCCTACTGTTAGCCAACACATCTTCTCCAGCTTCATGGGGGGAATTCTTTTAGAAAAGAGAAAAAAAAAGAGGTTGACTAAAAATGCATTCATTCACTTATTGAGCACCTGCTATATGTCGGGGCTGCACTGAACTCCGGGATGCAAAACAGAGTATGGGGTGACCTTGCCCTTTCTGGGGCATCACCCTGAGTCTTCCCTCTGAGCAGAGCCTGGGGACAGGGGTTCAGAAAGACCCCATGGCAGCTGTGCAGAGAGAGGCTGCAGAAGAGAGGGTGAGTCGGAGGCCTGTACCAAACCAAGCCCCATCCTGACAGCTGGATGGGCTGTCCTGCACGAAGATGTAGGGAGAGTGGGCTGTCCTGGGGGCCTGGACAGCCCAAGCAGTTGACAGGGCTGTGCCTCAGTGCCTCACCTGAAGGGGGAGGTATCTGTACTATCCAGCTGGCATGAGGTGTTAGGACTGTTACAACGGTGCCTGGAGGGCGCTGGCGGTCCAGTGCTGGCTGCTTCTGTGGGAGCAGAGCCTGGGCCAGTCCCTCCCAGAAGCTCCTTGTCAGCAACAGGATGTGACTGCAAACTAGCAGACCTGGACATTAAAAATCACCACAGCAGGCAGTACTGAAGTGATCACATGGCCATATTGCTAGAAGGGGCTCTGGCCACGTGCAGACTGGCTCCTTCCCAGGAGTGGGACGGGAAGGAAAAGGGGGTGTGGACAGAAGGCTCCAGGTTAAAGGTCCCTGTCCTTCAGCAACGTTGTGCTTTGAGACGATGGCTTTATAGGAGGTTTGTTAAGCCTACAAAGAATCCCAAGCCAAGATGGGTGCAAAGATCCCTGAAGGCCTCGCCAAGCTGGCATGCTGAGCTGAATCTAATGAGCCAAATTTGAATGAGAACAAACTGTACAGAGGCCAGTGACCCAAGACCAGAGGGGTCTGACTCAGCATAAGCAAGTGGGAAAACACCGAAGGCTTGTCTGCAGTGGATTCCTGACGAGCTGGTGAGGAATGCGAACCCTGAATGGACGTGGGGAGGTTCCAGTCACCGTTCCACGGTGGTCCTGACCAAGAGCTCAGACAGAAGACAGCGAAGGGTCGGGGGAGCAGCCCCAGGGCCCTGAACCCAGAACACATGACCCAAATCTGGGGGATGAATCCCTTGCTCTCCAGACCTTTGCTACTGTCTATCCCAAACTCATGCCCAATTGATTTGGACACCAAAGGACACTTGCCTACATGACACAACAGGAAAAAAAAGATAAGAAAACTAGAATGAAAAGAAAATTAGAGAAGAGCACACAGAGGAAGCTTGGAGAAGGCGAATACAAGGAAAGGGGCAGGAGGCTGCAGCTCAGCGTTCTGGAGCGCCCGGGGTCTTTGGAGGACCCCTCCACACGCGGCAGCTCTGTGGGGAGGCCAGGGCAGCAGAGGCACAGTGACCTGGGACCAGGCAGTGGGGACACAGGCTGCAAGTGTTGAAAGGGGCTTGGAGCCTGCAGCTCCACCCATCCTCCGCACAGCCTCCTTCTGGGAGGAGTGGGGTGTGCATGCCCCCCAACTCCTCTTGACCCTCTCACTCCTCATGCAGGAGTCCGGTGCTGGCCACATCGCTCCACTCAAGCAGTACTCCCTGCACCATCAGTGGCTTCCAGGCCCCTCAGGCTGATGCCCATCTGGCCTCTCAGCAGCCTTCAATGCTGCGGCTGCTCCATGCCCGGAAATCTCTCTGCCGTGGCTGCGCAGACCCGGCCCTCTCAGGCCTCCTCCTTGTGTCCCCGAGGCATTTCTGTTCTATGTTCTCTGCTGGCTTGTCCTGCTCTTCAAGAGACAGTAGGCTTAAAGCCTGTTGTCTTTCATCACTCACTGACTCCTGGGTGATCTCGCCCCCTCCCGTGGCTCCATTTGCCATCTAGAAGCTGATGACTCCACAATGTATGTTCCCAGCCCACACAGCAGGCTCTCTGGGACTCGAGCAGTAACCCCTGCCTCCGTGACTTCACCCCTCGGAGGCTTCGACGGCACCACTCTCTGCAGCACAGCCAGACCCGACAGAGGATCTTCACTCTAAACGCGGTCGTCCTCCCCGCTGGGCTGGTGTGACCAGAGCTCCAGCAGTCCCACCAGCAACTGCAAGGCTGTCCCCGCTCTGGCCCGTGCCCAAGACCAGTCCACTCAGTTCCCACGAAAACTTCCTCAGCGCCCTGTCCTGCACCTCCACGGGCCTCCTGCCTCACTCGCTGGGAGGACTGGCGCAGCCTCCTGACTGCGCTCCACTCAGCGGCTCCTTCTTCTCCAATCTGTTCCCACAGCCCCTTCTTAAAGCCCTGCAGGGGCTTCCCGAGGCCCTTAGGATGAAGATCAACAGCAGTCCCGTGGCCACAAGGCCCTATCACAGCCGGGCCTCTGTCCCCCAGCACGTAGCTCTCCTCCCTCCTCTGTCCCCTCACACAAGCCAGCCTCTTCCAGTTCCGTCAGGGGAGTACGGCCTCTGCACAGACTGCTCTCTCTGTGGAAAGCTCTCCTCCCACGGGGACACCTCCTTCAGCTGGTCTCAATCATCACTTCCTCAGGGAAGGCTGCCCCGAGCTCGCTCGGGGCCTAACCCACTGGCAGCCTCTACCAGCACGGAGCGGGAGCGCAGCTTTCATCACAGTGCGACATCGACATTTACATGCGATTATTCCATTCACAGCTGCTCCGCTACACTCGAGATGGTGAGATGGCGAGATGGCTGAGATGGCCGATGAGGCAGGGACAGGTCCTGATTCTGAGGAGAACTGAACCCCCAGTTCCTAACACAACGCCTGCTATACAGTTGGTGCTCAATTTATATATTTTTGGAGGAAAGCAGCACTGGTGCAAAGGGAAATACAGATGATGTATCAGTCAGAGTTCTCATATATGAAGAAATTTATTTTAAGGAATTGGCTCATACAATTGTGAGGACTAGAAAATCCCAAGTCTGTAGAGCAGGCCGGAGACTCAAGCAGAATTTCTGGGACAGTGTTGAGGCACAGTTCCCTCTTCCCTGGAAAGCCTTTGTTTTCTATCCTTAAGGCCTTCAAATGACTGTATGAAGCCCACCCACATGACTGAGGGTCATCTCCTTTACTTAAAGTCAACCTTCAGAGCAATGGCTTGGCTAGTGTTTGACCAAACACCTGGGCTCACAGCCCAGCCCAGCTGACACGTACAATCTGACCATCACAGATGGCAAACAGGGCATCCACCCAAGGAGAGGCCGGTGGTGGGAGAAGCCTAGCTGGTGGACGAGCACTGGGAGGGCATGGTGAGCCGACTCTCACACGCTGCAGGAAAACCCAGCAGACATGTTCTACTAAAAGCAGAGGGTGTGGAGAGGGGGTCTACTCCACCAGAGAAACCTCAGCCCTGGTCCCCAGGGCCAAAGGGATTCAGCCAGGATTACAGTCTGGGATGTCGGAGAAGGGTGGGGGCAGGCCCCCCATTGTAAGGTCCAGGTAGAATGTTCAACTCAGGCTGACCCCAGCCCCAGCTGATCTTCACCTCTGTCCTCACCCCCACACTCCTGCTGGGAGTGTGCTACGTCTTATCTCAGGACTTCACCATCCTCTCCTGGTCAAGAGCAGATGCCCAGGAGCCAGTGGAGGTCAGGAGGACGTGGCCTTACTCAGCTCCTAAGTTCAAGCCTGCACATCTCTCTGCGTAGATCACTCTAAAAAAGGACAATGCAATAAGGACTCAGAGATCTGAGTTCTTGGGACCTGATGAGGAATGCAGTCTTGGGTTCTTGAAGGACAATAGTCAGGAAAATTCAAGAAGCCAGAGAAAAGTGGGTACAGAGGGGGCCCCGCTGGGGAATTAGGAATAGGGGGATCTGAGTCATCAGAAATGCAAACTTCAAGCTACAGGGAGCCAAGTGCTTGGACAAAGGAGCCCCTGGGCAGCAATCAGAGAAAGGCTCTGGGCAGCCGGGGTCAGAAGAAAACATAGCCCAGCATCCAGGCATCGAAGTAGAATGTCCCCAGAAGAAGGCTAGCAGGCTAAAGCCAGTTGTGCCAAGACCCCAAGGAAAGGGCACCCTCTCCAGGAAGAACAGTGGTGAATGTTCATTCAACAGAGATTCGCTGGTTACCCACCTACACCGCATCAAGCCCTTTGCTGGATGCTGGCGAGTTGCACAACCTTGCCCTGGATGTGGAGTGAGTGGAACAGCATTAAAGAGCTCACCGCACAGAACCAGGTAAACACTAGGACAGAGGACATGCCTGCAGGGGAGGCATGGAGGGCTGTGACGGGGAAGCTTCACAGGGTCAGGGGGCACTTGAGAGAAAAGCTGGCTGGATAGAGAAGGGGCGATAAGTTGCAGGCTGAAGCAGGGCCTGTGCCCAGGCCTGGAGGCACGGAGAGCTGAGCCTGTTAGAGCAGAGAGGGCAAGGAGGAGGGCGCAGCCTCTGACCTCACAATACCCAGGGCCCACTGGGCCAGCCTTACAACCTGCAAACTCTGGTGCCCTCCTCCAGCCCGGGCAAGGCCCGGGGCCCTGGGCAGCCTCCAGGTGCAGTGCCCTCCTGTGGACTTCACCCTTCCCGTTGCCCCGGGGCATGTCTCTACTCACCAATTATGAGGGGCTTCGGCATCAGATCGAGAGGCTGGTGCGGGAAAATGAGGAACTGAAGAAGCTGGTGCGGCTCATTCGGGAGAATCATGAGCTCAAGTCAGCGATCAAGACGCAGGCGGGTGGCCTGAGCATCAGCGGGTTCAGCAGCGGGCTCGGGGAGCTGGCAGCTGGCCCTTCTCCACACCAGGGTAAGTGCAAAAGGTCTGAGTGCAAGAACAGTGGGGAGGGAAGGGTGAGTCTGCACCAGAGAGAGGAGACTGTGTGCATGGTTTCTCAGGAAACCATGGAGGGAGAGAAGGGCTTAGATGGCAACAAACTCGTGGGCCAGAGTCTCTACCAGCTGAGGGGAGGGTGAGGACACAGGACAATCAGGATAAAAGGGCAAAACTAAGCACGAATCCCATTCCCCTGATGGTAGGAACCCCTGCTGACACCCCTCCCCTCAGGTGAACTTCCAAGCAGCTCCACAGACTGAATTTCCCAGCTCTAGAATCCAAACGTGCTTACCCCCAGCTTCCCCACCCTCTCCTCCACCCCTCACCCTCAGCGCCCCCATCGCCTTCCCCATTACTCTCCACTTAGACACGACCAGAAGGCAACTGACAACCCAAATCTAGAAACCAGGGAGAGAACCAGGACTGAAGCTTGAGGTTTGAAATCGTTGGTGTGTGACAGCCCTGGGGCCAGAGAAGAGCTACAGAGCAGGGTGAGACAAGAACAGGCAAAGAAGTCATACGTGTTTGCAGAAAAGCAGTTGAAGTAACGATCTTTGGGGTTAGGCCTGGAGCAGAGGGACAGGGCCAGGAGGGCATTCAGAGGCCAGGAGGACAGGGAGGCTGCGGTGTGGTGACAGGAACAAGGGATGTGCCAGAAGAACTGAAAGCTGCCAGCATTGAAGATATCAGAGGGAGAATTTCCGGGGGTGGCAAGTCCCAGGGAGTGGCAGTAGGAGCCAGTGGCTGTCGCAGTGTACTGGTGAAGGTTAATGGGGGGAGGAGGTGACAAAATGCCTCCACTTTTGTTCTATCCACATTCCTCCCCATCTCTACCATGTCCTTCCTGTCTTGATGAAGGCTGTGTCCCCCTCTCCAGGGTGACTTCTCGGAACCGACACCTCCCCGCCCCACCGTGGCAACCCGCCCTGTCACTTCTGATTAAGAAGTTGACCTTTCCGCTTGGACTCTAAACCCCCTCAGGTCTGTGCTCCTTCCCCCACAGACTTAATGTCTTTCCTTTACTACGGAAAGCTGCCTCCCTGCTCCCTGGGTTTCCTGTCACCCTACCTGGCTGTGGCCTGGGGCTGGTCTTCACAGTCCTCATTACTGATCACAAGCACAAAGGCCCCTCTCCTTTGAAAGTTTATACCATTACTGACTCTGAGACAACAGACAGGGTGGCAAAAACAATACACTCGAGGAGGTACAGCATTTAAGAACTGTTACAGTTTAAGAAGCTAAACTGTGGTTTCCTACTCCCAAGCTGATCATGCAAGCCTTCTCCTTTTAGATTTGATTCTTTTTTTTAAATAACTTCACATTTTAATATTTTTTGCAGTGGGAGGTATTTAGGTTTTTATTTATTTTTCATGCAGTTGTTGGGGATCGAACCCAGGACCTTGGCATGCTAGGCACACATTCTGTCACTGAGCTATACCTTCCCCACCAGGTTTTATTCTTAAGAGAGTCCTTGGACCACTTCTGCTCTTCCAACCCTGACAGGTCAAGCTTAGGGGGTTAGGAAAGGTTTTCTGGAGGTGAGCCCAGCCAGCTGGCTGTGAGGGGATGGGGCATTGCAGGAGGAGGAAGAGCTTGAGCAAAGGCCTGGATCTGGGGGTTGCAGGAATGAGAAATAGATCAGTGTGTTTAAAGCCTAGGGTGTATGTGTATAGTTAGTGTGTGGTGTGTGTGTGAGTGTGTGGGTGTGGAGTGGGCTGTGGGTGAGCATGTGAGTGTGGTGTGAGTGTATAGTGTGATGTGTGAGTGGATTGTGTGACACATGTATGGAGTGTGTGGTACAGATGGGTGACTAGGATGTGTAGTATGTGTGACTTGAAAGTGTTTGTTGTATGAGTGTGAGAAAAGATGTGTGTGTGGCTGTGTGTGTGAAATGTGTGGTATGTGTGTGAGTGCGTATGTGTGGTGTCTGTGTCTTGTGGGTGGCTATGTGTGACAGTGTGTGTTTCAGGATGTACATGAATGTGTGTTTTGTGTGATACGCGTGCGTGTGTGGTACGTGGGTATTTGAGTGTGTTCGTGCTGTGTGTGCTGGTATGTGTGGTGTGTGTGTGTGTGTGTGTGATGTTTGTACTTGTGACTGTGTGGGGAGGCTAGGGGAGGTTTGGAGGGGGCAGCCAGTGAGAGGGGAATAACACAGCTGGAGGTCAGCAGAGGTCAGATTGCCAAGGACTGCGAATGACCCACTTAGGAGCTCAGACTTGCTCCTAAAGGCAATAAGCAGACACTGGTTGTTTCCAACAGGGAATAACCATGTTTGTGCTTCAGAAAGACCATTCCAGATGCTGTGGGGAAAATGGAGTCAAGGGAAACCAGAGTAAGGCAGGGAGATAGATTAGACGAGGCTCTTGAGTTATCCAGGTTGAAGAGGATGGTCTGAACTAGTGGTGGAGAAAGACTGATTCCAGTCTCTTAGGAAGAAAATGAACTGCTTGGATGTGAGGGATGAAAGAGAGTCCAGAATGTGTCTGTCGCTGTGGCAGAGGTGACCGGGGTGCCACTTCCTACAACTGCAGACCCTCTGTTCCCATGCCCGGCAGAGGCAGATCCCTGGAAC